TTTCAGATGTTGAACTTTTTTATTGGCGTCTTTGTGTTCTCCAGTTTGATTGGACAGGTAGGTCGGAGGAGGGTTTTATTTGTGACTCCAGCATTACACATTTAGCTTAAAGCTTTTGTTCACAATGTTATGTATTCTAATGCAACACTCTCTTGTCCGTCTGTCTTTCTTTCTCTTAGATGAGAGACGTCATAGGAGCAGCAACAGCAGGTCAGACATATTTCCGGGCATCAATGGACGGCTGTGTTGCTTACATGAACACCTACTCAATCCCCAAGCCTGTCCAGAACAGAGTTCGGACCTGGTACAACTACACCTGGGCAGCTCAGGGCATGCTGGGTGAGACTCAAACATTTGTACCAGAAATAATAAACCTGATGAGACACTAAAACTCTCTCCTAAAAACCAGACTAATATTTAACTAACCACACAATTTTTTAGATGCGTTAAGAAAATGCTTTTGACAGCTTACTGTATGATGAGATATTCATGTCTTCTCCAGATGAGTCCGAGCTGCTGGATGCGTTGCCTCTGGTGATGAAAACCGCCATTGCTGTTGACATCAACCTGAGCACCTTCCAGAAGATTGCACTGTTTCAGGTGACTCAGCATTTTTTGTGTCCTCCTGTAATTTGAGACAATTAAATCACATTTTGACAGACATCTGGGGTCATGGATGGATTTCTGAATGGGTCTACTGGGCATAGGTCCAGGGCCCCCCTGGCCTTCACCTGCAAAATGTCACTCAAATTCACATGCACCAGCCAGGAAGAGAGAGAAAAAGACCACAAACAGGAACTGCAGAGACACAAAAGAACTACAAAAAGGGGCAAAACAACTACAAAGAGACATAAAACAACTATACAGACACAAAACAAACAAAAGAAGACACAATTTGACTACAAAGAGACACAAAACAACCACAAGGAGACACATAATGACTACAAGGCAACACTGAACAACAAAGAGACAAAAAATGACTACAAGACACAAAAGAAACACAAAGAGACACAAAACAACCACACAGATACAAATAGATAACCATAAACAGACAAAATAACCAAAGAGACACATAACAAATACAAAGAGACACAAAATTACTACAGAGACAAAAAACGAGGCAACACAAAATGACCTCAAAGAGACACAAAATGACTACGAAGAGACAAAAAAAAAGAGACAATTGACTACAAAGAGCCATAAAGCAACCACAAATAGACACAAAATAACTACAAAGAGAGACAAAATGACAACAAAAAGTGACACAAATCAACCACAAAGACACATAAAACAACCGCGAAAAGACACTTAACAAACACAAAGTGAGACAACATGACAACAAATTGAGTTGTCAACTACAAAGAGACATAAAACATCCACATGGATACAAAAAAATAACTACAAAGAAAGCCAAAACAACCACGAAGAGCCACAAAATGACTATGAGGCGACACATGATGATACAATGAGACACCAAACAAACATAGAGACACAAATCAACTACAGAGAGCCATAAAACAACCACAAGGACACAAAACTGACACAAAGAGACTATTAAGGACTACGGGGCGACACACAACATGACCTCAAAGAGACATAAAGTTACAACAAAGAGACACCAAAAAAACACAGAGACTTGAATCAACTACAAAGAGACAAAAAACAAACCAAAAAGAGACATAAAAAAAAGATGCATAACAACTACAAAGAGCTACAAAACCACCACAAGGTTTGAGTCTTTTTCCTATATTGGAGACATGGTGGGGCCTCTTCCATGTCTGTGCCCAGGAGCCCATTGCATCATAGCCCACTCATGTCTGGAGTCACACACATCTCTGTGAACACAGCACTGAATGCTCACCTGTCAATCTTCTGTTGCCTCTTCAGGGCTGTGACCAGCAGATGTTGGTGGACATGTTGCTGAGGCTCAAGTCAATCATTTATCTACCTGGAGACTTTGTGGTGAAGAAGGTGAGTATACGAGTTTGTGTTGGTAAAGGATAAACCTCAGTGATCAACATGATATATAGAAGGTTATATCATCTGAGAGTGATGCTGACCTCTGCACTCGCCTCCACAGGGGGACATCGGCAAAGAGATGTACATCATCAAAAGCGGGGCGGTGCAGGTGGTGGGAGGACCTGACAACAGTATTGTGTTTGTCACACTAAGGGCTGGAAGCGTGTTTGGAGAAATCAGGTTAGTCTACCTTTATGTACGACAACTTGAACAGAAAAGAAATACAAGTCACATATTTATCCCTTATTTTCATCATCCTCTCATCCAGTATGTGACACTGATGAGCATGATAATAATAAGTATCATATCTGTAAGGAGAACATATTTACCTTTGCAGTTACCTTGTAAAGACAAAGACAACATCCCTGTTGCGCAGTTTGTTGTCTTTACCCGACCAATGTGATTTGAAATGGACACTCTGGACACGATATATTTTGACTTCTGTCCCCGTCACAGTTTACTACAGTCTGCCAAAGATGGAGGCAACAGGCGCACAGCTAACGTGAAAGCCCACGGCTTTGCTAACCTTTTTGTCCTGGAGAAGAAGGACCTGTTTGACATCCTCATCCACTACCCAGAGTCTCAGAAAGTGCTGGCCAGGAAGGGAAAGTGAGTCATTAACACTTAGAACAATCATTTTGATGCTTCTAAAATCCAATTGTGCAAATTAGATTCTAAAACACAGCCCATTATTGTCTCTGTGTGTGACTGTGGAGGAAACTGATCAAAGCCAAAGGCCCTGCACCAGCTAAAACCAACGAGGAAAAGCCAAAAGGTTTGCTTTTGTTTGGACAAAGACCACCAACACCCAAGTTAATGAAGCTCTTTGGCAATTTCCGCAAAGCAGAAGCTGCCAAGGTAAAGTCCTAACTGTGATGCAGCATCCTGCATACAGAGATCAGTGGGATAGTTTGATTTGTACTGACGAATAGTCTTGTACTTCTACAGAAAATGTTGGCACTAGATAGCTTAAAAACATGATGTCATCATGGATAATAAGCAGTGACATGACATTGTCTTATTTTGTCTTCTGTCCGCAGAAAAATGCCTAGTACAAGAAATCAAAGCGGGACGTGTGGGGCTGCTCCTGAGCTCCACCACTTCAGCCTGTATCATTATGTTCATTACACCTTCCACTGCCTACTGAAGGAATCACATGAATACAGAAACGGGACTTCTGTAATTATCATCTATAATATTCACCTCGTAAACTTTTGTAGATTCATTAATAGAGTCAAGTTTGACCTGATCAGTGCGAGTAGCCAAATTTAAAGGTTAACATTATGCTACAGAAGGAGCTCGGAGTAGAGCCGCTGTCAGTTGAGGTGGTTCGGGTATCTAATCAGGATGCCTCCTGGGCACCTCCTGTTAGAGGTATTTCAGGCACGTCCCACTGGTAGGAGGCCCCGGGGCAGACCCAGAACATGCTGGAGGGATTACATATCTCATCTGGCCTGGGAACACCCTGGGGTCCCCCAGGAGGAGCTGGAAAGTGTTGCTGGGGAGAGGGACGTCTGGGGTGCTTTGCTTGGCCTGCTGCCCCCGCGACCCGGCCCCGGATAAGCAGATGAAAATGTATGGAAATGTTTGTATGTGTCATTTTTCATATTAAAGAAATTAAAATGTTTACTACAAAATGTGTCCTCAGTTTAATACCTAGAGGATGAGCTCCTCCACACCTCAGACTGGTTTCCAATCTTTAGTCAGTTAGTTTTTAGTTTAAAATTGGACAAACTGGAAAGGTAGTATGTGCAGCAACAGCTCCCATAGCTGAACAGGTAAAGAGCAACACCTACTGTCTGACATTTGAATTTAAACTTCTGTGAAAAGAAAATTAAAGGGAGACTTTCCCTTAAAAAATAAAATGAGATATTCTTCCTCTTATCTGTGGAGCTATTTATCAGTCTAGATTGTTTTGGTGTGAGTTGCAGAGTGTTGGAGATATCAGCTGTAGAGATGTCTCTTGAATATGATGGGACTAGTTTGCACTCAGCTTGTGGTGCTCAAAGAGCCAAAAAAATGAGTTAGAAAAACTCTACAGCAATGTCTCTTTCTAGAAATCATGACCCAGTTACTCAAGATAATCCACAGACCTTGTTGTGAGCAGTTTTTAAATAGGAACTATTTTCTTTGTACCAAACTACACCCACCAACTGAAGCCCCTTTTACACTGCCAGATTTTCCGCGAATGTTGGGCTGTTTTGCCGGCAAGCTGCGAGCGTTTAGACACACTGAGCCAGATTGGCGAGTTGATCTGAGGTGCCCAATTTTCCGCCCCATAGGGTAGACATATTGACGGAATGCTTTTAGTTTAAAAAGGCCGAGGTGGCCTTCCACAAGAGGAGGGGCTGTTGAAGACTTGTGGGAGGAGCTGTTGACGACGATGCACATGCGAGCCACTGGCGGTGGATAAACAGGAAACAGCTGATAGCAGGAATTAGCGAGCAGCTAGTAGCAACAGGGAAACGCAAAAATGACAGATACTATTGTGCGCCCTGCTTTCCTGCAAATTTGCACAACACCTATTTTCACAGTGCAGAGGAAAGCATGTATCTACTGCTAGCTCACCTAGCACCACCGAACTAGCTAAAGCCGCAGCTCAGCAGAGGCCATTAAATCTTGCGCTGTCATAAGCACAAAACTCTCGTCCATGAGTAGATGTACGCTTCCTTCCACAAACTGAGTGCCATCTAGTTCCATCATATTCAAGAGAGGGCAGACATCTCTACAGCCGATATCTCCAACACTCGACAACGCACAGATGAGCTGGAGAATGTGTTGAATTTAGTGTTCGAAACATATGGCACTGCCTATGACATCAGAGAAATGGTTTATGTTTTCATGTTTTTAAGACAGTTTATGGTCACTACTTTTTTCCACTTCCACTTTCCACAACTGGTTGCAGCCTGTGAAGCTGATCATAACTAACTTTCTAGAAATCTGAGGCCTTAAAAAAGGTAACAAACACGAGACAGGAACGATTACTTTTACAGATGCATGTTATTTGGATAATGATAACACCTGAGCAGCCTGAAGCTTTTAAGTCCACTTGCACATAAATCTACAGAGACATGATCACTAATTAAAAAAGGTAATATAACATGATGCATAACAGAAAAAAAAAATCCACACACATTTAAAATAATAAAACTGAAGTGAAATATAAGGCGTTTACATGGTTTCAGCTTCCTGCTCCTCTTCCTCTCTATTTCTGTCTCAATGCATCATTTTGTCATATGGATCACTGAACATTTATTATGCTGATACACGACATCTATTGCACATCTGTCAGTCCTGATCGAGGGGTCCCTCCTCAGTTGCTCCTCCTGAGGTTTCTACCATTATTGTTTTTCCTTGTCTGCCAAGGACAGACAGAGTGATGTTGTATGTATGCTGTGAAGCCCTCTGAGGGCTTAATAAAATAAATTAAATCAAATTGAATTGCTCCCATGCACAAACTGCAACTGGACATTTTCTCTCAATATGCAGCTATGAACTAACATGACTGTATGTGACCTTTTGGTTGGTTTTTCATTAGAGAACAGCTGAGAGAGATTTAAGTCCTCTTCTCCCTCCAACTGCTCTGCGATACTGTACGTTTAAAGTTTGTTTTCAGCTCCTCACAAGTCTTTCATGAGTCTCTGTTCAAAGTCAGATACTGTGGTTGGGTCATGTGGTCTGCAGGATACTTGGCCGGTATTGTAAACTGCACTGGAAGTCTCCCCAGCAGATGGGTCATGCAGAAACGGTGCTTTAACTCTGGAGCTTCCAGAGGATGATCTGTCTGTCCTCTCCGCCTGTGATCACTGTGGAGCACAGCTCACTCATCCACATGGCGGTGACAGCACCTGTGCAAAGACAACATGTTTACAGTGGACATTTACAAGTACATACTTCTCTCACTTAGTCATACTGCAAGGATCTTTATTTACAGGTACTGGCAAGCAGCATAAATACTAGGGCTGCCCAAACATTAATCGGCAAGATTTCATTTGTCGCTTAGTCGCAGACAATTTTTTTTTTAAAAAAAGAAGAAACAATCGTGAAACTCTATAAGGAGCTGCGCCTTGTTAAAATAAATCACATAGTACAGGTGGTTAAAGATGCACCATGGGTACAGCCTCTAGTGTCAGACAGGAAATCCAAAGTGTGGGATCATTTTGAGAAGGTGAAGGACGAACCCAAGGTGATATGTAAACTCATCTTCATTGGTCGACTACAAACATGACGTATCATCTGAAACATGGAAGTAGCTACATGCCCATTAGCCCACAGCGTCATTAACAGGCGGCTCGATCAGTGTGTGACGTGCACTTGTAGATAAAATATAGGCCTATATTAATGAAGGCTCATTAGTACGGTTTTGTATTTCTCTGTAATGTAGCACAGTGTTAACAATGTTACTGATACTATTCTTTCTCACACCTTCAACTCAAACCACCAAAATATATCATTTAATCATTAAATTAATATCGTAAACATGCGGGTGACTAGTGGACTAATGGCCCTAAATGAAGACTATTGATCAACTAGGAAAATTCTTATTCAGGGGGCAGCCCTGATTAATACCTTGAGGAAGTGGTACAAAGGCTCAGTTAAAGCTCAGGTAGGCTGTGTCTCAATCGCTGCTCATTAACTGCAGTCACACTGTCAAACTTGATTCAAGTATGAGTCAAGATTGTGTTACTGCACTGCCTTTTTCTCGCCTCAGATGTTTTCAGAAACATATTTTAGCGTACTGTTTAGCTGTCAAATGAGAACATTTGAGACCCTGCTGCCATGTTGGAATCAGTCAAGCTGAAACAAACTATGAGGAGGCAAAGGAGCATGATTGTTTTCACAGACTGTCTGCCACATGTACTGCTGTCAGGATACATTGAGAGTTATAAAAAATCTTTGTCACATTTGGTAAAAAAAAAAGTAAAAGGTAAAAAGTTGAAATATTGTTGTGAGTGACTCAATATAAGAAGCAAATAGAATATTTACTATATTAGCTGGTGCATGTGAGAAGATGAGGTGTACCTGAGTGTGCAGGGATCCTCTGGGTGACTGTATTGCTGAGCAGGTCCCACAGCAGGAGGTCACCTGACTTTCCCCCGCACAGCACCGAGTGCCCGTCCCAGCAGAAACACCTGAACCCACACACACGTTTGACTTGTAGCATCAGTCAGCAAAGTGAATCAGTTTCTATTTTAAACAGCCAAGAGCTGAGGTGTGAGAGCTCAAACACAAGCCACATCACATCAGTGTCTGTGTAGCTAACGTATTAGTTAAGTTAGTGGCTCCTGTTTCACTTCAGAGCCCTTTAGAGCTGTAGGGCTACATTATGATGTCAGAGCCCCAGTCTCCATTGCTGTTCCTCTAGGAAGCTTGTTACTGTGTGACTTACTCCCACCTCTGGCCGAAACTATGTAGAAACTATTTGACCTAAATACCTGTACTGCAGTGCAGTCTAATCCCTTACATGTACAGTGTAGCTCAAAGAAACCTACTTATGAAAATAAGATTTATAACATACATTCTCAATTATATATATGACTCTCTGGCTTTATAAGGAGCTTCAAATGCTGTGAGCTTTATAACTGTGACTGAGCGACCTCACCTCTGCTCCTCCTCAGCTTTCACAGATGAGATCACCATTCCCGTCTGGACGTCAATAACCTTCATGCAGGAGTCAGCACCGACACTGAGGACGTGTCGGCTATCTGAGGATGTAAAAACCAGAATCATCACTTTAGTCATGGTGTCTGGGTCACTCAGATCTTTGAAATGTTGTGATGTAATTTCTCAAGTTCAGCTTTGAAAACTAGTAATGCAAGAGAAAATGGCCAACTAGCAGACTGTCATATAACCAGGTTTTTATAGGGCTTAGAGACAAAGTTCTACAACACAGATTTCCAGGACTTTATAATGAGGTATAATGGAGCAAAGAGCGCTGCTGGAGATGTATTGTTGCCGTTCTCTCTCCTGCAGTAATGACTCACAGCAACACAAATAAAAGCGCAGCCAGCCACTTGGCTGCAGTGTGATAAAGTTAGTCTGTAGGTGCAAAACAATAAACAGCAAAGCAGAGCCAATTACTGTTCTCAGCACTGACCCTTGAAGGCAACATTTATACTGCACCAACTGAAAGGCTGCTCTGATAAACCAATCAAGAAGCTCCATCAGATAACTCATAACACACACCAGTTTCACATGAGGTCAGATTCTTTGACACATACCAGGGCTAAAGGCCATGTGATGGATGGTTCCAGTGTGGCAGCAGTGGACCTGCTGCAGCGTCCCGTAGCTGCCGGTGTCCCAGATGGTGACGGTCCCATCTTTACAGCCGGACACCAGCAGAGTCCCCGCTGGATTCAGACCGATGGTGTTCACCTGTACATGCACGTAAGAGACGTTTCAGTGTTCAGACTCAGGCTTTGCCACATTTTATTTCCTCCGTGTTATTAAAGTCAAGACTGTTTCACTGTAATTGCATTGCTAGGCAACAGCTTGGGTCCATGGTTACTTCCTGTCAAAGGGACCAAATCATTCAGTTTATGTTTAAGCTTGAAACTGGCAGTTAGTTGTGACATCACAACTTCACAGAAGTCCCGTCAGCTCGTTTAAAGCCACAGTTTCTGATACAATCTGTGAGCATTTCTCTGTGGACTGACCCTTTTCATACTATTAACATATTTTACAAAGGACATGGAAATCAAACATGTTTTTTATAATATGGGATGTTTAAATACAAAGCTAACATCTGTGCCCTCACCCCAGCATCATGTTCCAACTCAGCCAGTAACTGAAACTGGGATCTCTTGTGACTGGAGGAGCTGTCAGAGGCACACTGCCACACCTGTGGAATAACAACATCATCTCAATCAGACACCAACACACCCCAGGAAAAACATAAAAACTAATATCTGCACCACATCTGTCAACAATGATGTCATGTTGTGTTATTGGCATTTTTACAGACTCTCAACTTGTCCAGATATCAAAATGCCTGATAATGTCATAGCTTAACAACAGCAGAGTTTTAGTTTCTACCTTGACGGTGGAGTCCCAGGACGCCGTGTACAGCCGGTCATCAAACCAACACATTTGACTGACGGCATCATCGTGACCCATCAGTGTGTCCTGCCGCCTGCCGTACGGGATGGAGTAGAAATAACTGAGGGGAGAGAAACACGCAGGTCAGTGTGACGTCATGGAGATAGTTTTGAAAATCATTATGTTCATATATGATATACATACACGTTGTTGTCCCAGGAAGAACACACCACAGTTTTACCGTCTGCCAACATCAAACATGAAGATAATGCCTGAAAAACAGCAGAGTGATTTACTGCTCAGAGTGAGTCTGACATTATCAGAGAGGAAGTGAGGTAAACAGCAAATACAGCTTTGTACCATGTTAGAGAAGGACATGCTCCTCTGGAAGTCCTTCAGCTCTTTGGAAAACATCTTAAGTGTGGAGTCTGGAATAAAGAGTGATACAGCTGAGTAAGTGCAGCACAACAGGAACAAGACAGATAAATCAATTAATAATAATAATAAAAGATAAATATATTTTATTTTATTTTTTTTTTTCCCCCCGTTAAAGGCAAACTGTGATTTGTGATATTGAGCTTTATAAATAAAATTGATTGAATTAATTTATAAAAAAAAACCCTAAAAAGAAAAAAGAAGACAATAAATTTAAAGCACCCTAAAAACCAGACAAAAGAAACACAGAAAAATAAAAGAAAAATACAAACATGACATTTATTAACATGAAATGTTAATAAAAAAATAAAAAAAATTAAAATAAAATAAATAAATCTTAAAACTTTTTTTTTTTTTAAAGAGAAAGTTACCATACTGTCAAGCCCACAAAGTTAAATCACACTATGTCACTAAATATAATAAATTATAAAACAAGCCCAAAAAATTATATAAATTAGGACTGAGGATCCACCTGCAGGACAGGCCCCGAAGTCTGAAGTTTTATTACTTAAAAAAAAATAAAATAAAATTAAAAAAAAGCCAAACCTCTGAGCTATTAAAATAAAATCAAAATAATTTTAATAATTCAATTATATCATTATTTCATTATTGGTGTTTTTTATTTAGACAACCATTTTCATGTTGACAAATCACAGATATATAGAAGAAACACATCACCGTGTTCGAGGCAACTGATTTCTATGTGGGTGTGTTTTTAACAGTTTTTTAATCACTAATATTTTATAGCACTATTTATAAAAGTATTTACTGTTTGTTTTTTGTTTTTTTTACTTGTTTGTGCACTTATTACAAACATACAAGTTGATAATACTTTCTTCTCTATATCTAACAAGACATGGGAACCTGCAGTTTTTTACAGGCATATTAACTCATACTAATATAATTTCAATTTTGTCAATATTGTACGGGGTGACTGTCAATTTAACAGTGCTCAATATCAGTAAACCATTTTGAGGAGGAGCTGTGTAAACAGGACATATTTTGTCTGCCCCTCCTGAGCTGTTGGAACTGTAGAGGTTTTATTTTTAATCTATGAATCAAGCATGGTTTTAACAAAGAGTAATTTTAAAGTATACTTCATATTCATGCCTCCTGTGCCCCACCAAACAGTCATCTATACTGTTGTGCTTTAAACCATAATACATTACAAAACAAGTCTGACTCTGGTTCACAGGTCTATTCTGAATGGACCACAAGAAACACACTTTATTTTGAAGTACAGTGAATTTCTGCCACAGAGCTTTTATTTTGAAGTGCATTTCCTGCTGTAGAGTGAGTGACTAACTGACAGCTACTTGACTGAGATGGTAAACTAGCTTGATGACATGGCCAAACACAACTATGACACAGAGTACATTAAACTGTGGACCTTGATCTAGTGACGAAGGAGGAATCTGGACCAGTTGGGATCCACTGGATTAGAGTTGATCAGGTGACACTTCACTGCAGATCTGTCTTTTGATCCTGTTCGGACCTCTACAATGATCAATATTTGTCTCAGATTTAAGATGTTAAGATATTTTCCAGACCTTGAGATGTGGAGAAAATAGCTGCTCCATCTCGAGTCACGGCGATGCCCGTCAAAGCCCTGCACATTCAACACACAGACAGAACACATGTATAAATACCTACAGGACAAATGCAGAGGGGAGGATGTGCTTAGCTTAATGTAGCAGTCACACTACAATTACTGAAGACAGAACAGACAGTGACCTCACAATACATTTTAATAGGTTTCTATTTTCCTTCCTGCAGCTGCCTGCCGCCTTCGAGCTTTGCATGCACTTCCTCATATTTTCAACAGAGCTTTCATTTCAGCTGTAAGTGGACCGGCACTGCAATTATGTTCGTGCTTTGTCATTACTGCAGCTATTCGGACGCATCCTGACTTACTCTTTATGGATCTTGTGGCTGGAGATGGGTTTCAGATTTCCCATGTTTGCCCAGGCTAACTTCCTGCTCTCCTCGGTCAGGTCCTCGAAGGACGAGTCCTCGCTTGGAGAGGCTGCAAAGACACACAGGGATAACTGCAGTAAGGGTATATGGAGACGAAAATGACACTTTTATGTGTTAGATGGTGGTGGATGCTGCTTATGCACATTCACTATGATGATTTTAATCACTGGAAATAAAATAAATCAGGAGATTATTGACTGTTTGTGACTTTATTGGTTAAAAAAAATGGTTTGGGTCAAGTCATGATGCGACACAGAAATTTCTGACCACACTACTCGAACAGGGAGGATTCACTGAAATACAAATTCCCTCCCAAACTGCACAAGTCAAGTGCTGCATTATTCAAAGAAACCTGCACACTAAGGTGTGAATCACCGTCGGCACCATTAGTCGGTTTACAAATATCATAACACAACCTCAAATTTGAAAGAGCAGCCTTGTTCACAAGCTGCTTTGATTCTTTTTAACTGTGTGTGTGTTTCTGCAGTCCTACCTGGAGACAGTTCACTGACTGTTGAGTTGCTGCTGGGGCTCCGAGTTATGTTGTGAAACCTGGGTGTGATCCTCTGAGGGTGGGGGATGGTGAACAGCTGTTTGGGCGTCTGGCCGAACTCCAGGATCTGCGTCAGCATGGCAATCCTCTGGTCGGGGTCCTCGATGCTTTGCAGAGAAATGGAAAGTCAGCTCCACAGTGTAATGTTAAATATCTTTAATAGTGATTTGCGAGTGTTGTTCTTGGGTACCTGTCGCAGTCGATGCCTCCTTCGTAAGTCAGTGGGTGAAACACTGAAAGGCAAAGAGATAAATATGAGTCTTTGTCCAGTTTTGGCTGGTGTCATGTTGACAACAGATGGCAGTTATTTTACCATTGTGGGCTGCGACAGATTCACTGCCTCTCTGTTTGAAGCCAAACACCAGGTCGATCCACTCGTGAAGGTGCTCCGACACGAACTGACTCTCCAGAGCCGTCCTGTGCTTCTGAAGAAAATCACTGGTATCTGGAGTCAAGACAAACAGGACGGAGTAAGGTGAAGGAGAGGAAATGACACCTGGATCCAACAGAGTTCACATGCAGACACAGACTGCATGAAATAGTGGACGTAGCTTTGGGGTCTGAAAAATAAAGCCAAAGATGAAGTGCTTTAACATGGTAGTCCTTCTAATGGCCAGCAGGGGGCGACTCCACTGGCGTCAGTAAGAAAATGACCCGACTTCTCACTTAATTTATTTACTCAGTAAACATTTTCCTGATGAGTTTATGGTCCCAGTCGCTAGGTTCAAGTCTTCTTCAACACAGCATGATGCTCATTTTGTAAATTATGGTCCCATTTAAAGTAAAACAGACGGTAAAGCCGGGGATGCTTTAGGGCTATGGCCAAAATGCCGAACTCCTGCTTCCAAACTGTAGTCCACAAGGTGACGTCACGGCAGCTACATCCACTTCTTTAATACAGTCTGTACAGACATACCATGATCAGAAAGTTACCTGAGGCCCACGGTGGGAGAACAACGTCACTGACTAAGCTTCCGTTCTGCCTTCTGCCCAAACTTAGATTCAGTTTGTTTTCCAGGAAGCTGCAGTCGTTCCCATAAAACTCTGGAATCAGCTGCGTTAGTGCAAAGACATTCACACAAAGCACACAAGCCATGAAACACTTCCACAGAAAACATATGAAGACACTCTAGATACTGCTTTGTCAGGGAGACACAGTACATAAAAGTGAAGATGGCAGCATGGATACTGTATATGGATCATTTTACATCGATGACTATGTTCATGTTGGTGTGCAACTCTGATATGTCTGTACTGACAGCACAAACTCTTCACTTGCAGGAAAATATCTGGTGAAGACAGCAGTAGTGTCTCACTGACATAATACACAGCTGAGTCATATTTTACCTCTTTGAAGTCAGTTGCCCCCTCTAAGCAGTTTTTCCATGTATCAGCTATGCTGTAAGAAATCAAAACAGGGCTGTTAATACCAACATGTGAAATCATTTTTCATGTATTAATTAGTTTTCTCCCCTGATAATATTCATAAACTGTCAAAAATAAACATCTAACACAGTATGGGATCAATAAATATTCTTATCATTGACACGTCATCCTAAAAATTCAAGGTTTATCAAATGTGTCGTGGTGACAGACAAGATAAGAGAACAGAAATTCAGCACGTTACATAAATGAACTCATTTAAGGTTTTTCTGAGTGTTTGATTCGACAGAAATAACGTACCTATTAAACATGCGATCTGCGTGGTCGTAGCGTCCGTTCTGGAGACACAGCATGTGCTCTGGAGCTGCAGGGGGGAGGACAGAAAGCATTAACACAATATTAGCTCCATTTTTCAGCAGAAGCAAAGATGGCAGCTTCACATAAACAGGCTCTGAGTCCCAGAATACATTTATATTTGTGTGATGACACGTTAGACTGCTGTAGTGTAACACATAAACAGCTGCTCTGAAAGTTGCTCCACAGAGATTAAAAAAGAAACCCAGAAAAGTGCATTTGATATATTTTTTAAAATCATTTTAATGGTCTGTCTCCAGTGTGTCAGAGAGACAGAGACAGTGTTCTTGCAGCACAGACAAGCATGCAAACAAAAAGAGAAAGTGTCTGACACACTGAATGTACACTGTGTGTTCTGTGCTTCCATACACACTGTAGCTTGTGTGATATTGTGTGTGACATACCGACTCTGACCAGGTAGAAGAGGACGTAGCCTGGAGATGAGTAGTGACTGCCGTACATGAAGCGAGGTTCAGGCATGCCTCTGTAGCGAGCCTGTGGACACAACAACTCTGTTTACTGATGTTTACTGACACTCGCAGCAAAGAAACAATATGTAGCAAATATTTAAATATATCCATAATAAAACAACGATCATGTAATTTCATTCTAACATAGCCCCAAGAAAGTTTGTCACGTAACATAAACAATTACGTAAACCTGGTGTTTCCTGTGTTTCACTCTATTCAGAGCAACTTGAGTGGGTAAAAGGGATTTGACAGCATTGACAGGCGACCAAATGAAACACACTGCTACCTTGAGTAAAGGCCTTTGCACACCGAGTCCGTTTTTTCAGGTCAGGACAGCATTATCAACTGTAGCTGCCACATGAGCGCAGTGCAGAGAGACGGCAAATAGCCAGCCAGAGGGACACACTCACCGAGACCCACATGCACTAACAAGCACATGCAGTTGGACCGTCTACCACATTACTCCACGATATCTTTACATAGTAAATAGTGGTTTGCTGCTGTCCATCCAGTCACTGGGTTACATATAAAAAAAAAGACACAGGAGCAGCAGAGTCTCACCAGCAGTCGGTCTAGTCGCTCCTTGTTTAGGGCTCCCACAGGTTTGCCCAGGTCCCTGAACGTGGCAGCATTTGTCATGTCTGTGAAACAGAGAAAGCAGTTCTGACAGTTGACTACTGATGCATGTCTAATATGAGCCGCAACAGTGAGAGTGAAACCATTACTGCTCCTCTCACTATGTTTTATAATGCCAAACACTTCAAACACACAATATCAGATATGAGAACAATTGTAAGGTAGCTGGGCTCTGATCCTGATCACATTAGGCCTCTGCAGTAACATGTTATGTAAATTAATCTTTGCTATTAACTCACCCAGCTGCGCGCTGGTATAGTCAGCGATGACCCAGGGGAAGACGGGATACTGGGAGAGGTCGTTGCAGCTGCGGTCAGCCAGGTTGTTGAGGTGAAGGAGGTACTGGTAGTTGCTCAGGTGGCCGCGCTGCCACTGCAGCATGTAACTCTCTGCTGTGTGCTCCGTCATGTGGTTCTCTGAAAGACAGCAGGGTTCAATCAGTCATGTTTTACGTTGTTTTATCAGTAACGGTTTCCAAAGGTGAATGCCAATATTTGGATCAATGCTAAGAGCTGAAACTGTCTTTGAAGGCCAGTAGTGTTGAAATGAAAGACAGATTCAATCAATACAAAACTTTCATATCAGAAGTCTGCGAAAAAGGAAAAGCAGCACACAGAGAAACTAACTTACATCCATGAGACCTGATCGTCAATACTGTTGACCTTGTTTTTAAGACTCAAGATCATTTTGGAAGTCAAGACTCTCTGAAACAGATTACAAACGGCCTGAAGTTTTCTCACCCAGGAAAGTGGCGATGTAATAGTAGATTTCATCTCTGTCGGCCGTGTTGTAAAACTTCAGGTAGATGTCAGAGCAGAAATCGTTCTCAGTACAGAACACCTCCAGACCCTGGGTGAGGAGAAACATGAGCACAAACATGAGCATTTGAAATTATTAGACCCTTCCTGCCTACATTATTATATATTGACTCACACTGACTAGCTGTACTCACCAGAGGTCTGAGTCCATGTCGTCTCTTGTAGATTCTCCTCACTCTGTGGAGTTTGATTTGAATCACCTGCTCCTGAAATGACAAGCCATAGAAACATGATGTTATTTTATTACCGCAGCTCAATAACAAAGCTCAGCATGTCCACTCAGATGTGGCGGCTCACCGGATATCCATTGAGAGGCTGGAAGTAGAGGCTTTCATCTGTTATGCAGACGTGGCCGGGATTGGACACGAGAGGCGTGACCATCTCCACCACGCACTCCATGTGAGGCTTCTCAGCAACACTCTGAAAGCTTCACACAGAGTCCCAATGTTATCTTTACCAGCTGCATACTCCAACAAATTATTAATACTAAAACTGTAAATGTTTTAAAGCACTTCTTTTTAAGTCAACATACCAGTTTTTGTCGAAGGACGTCCTCGCCAGCCGTGACTGTAAATTGGCTGCAATCTGGAAAAACACAAGAACTGTATGTTTGATCACAGATGATTATATCAACAGTTTAAAAAATATTAATGCACTTAAGGAAGTACGATTAAGCAGAATAAAGTACAAGGAGCTGAGTGGATCTTTAACACTTGTGATTATCATCACTCATAATATCCCAGGCTTTAGAGGCCCACTGTGTGTTTGAACTTTAGCACCAACTGACTCACCATTGCAGTCTGGTCTCCAAGTTTCTCCAGACAGGACGCCCTGTGGAGCTGCAAATTTCACCAGTCAAAAATAAGTGGAGCAACACCAACACATACCAGAGCTGCAAGTATCCGAATTCATGTACTCCTGAGTCAAGCTCCATCTAACAGCTCAGTTTATTCAAACAAACACACTCAGTGGGAGTAAATTTATCTCCCACTCCTGCAGCAACTATTGTTTTGAAGTAGCTGACATACCTGAAGTAATGTCTGAACGACATCTTCTGTTTTACTCCAACCCTCCAACTGAAAAGTCACTTTCTTCGACCCCTGTCAAAGTGATGAGAGAAGTTTAAGAAGTTGAATAGATGAGCAAATCTGGAGCCTTTTCCGAGCTCTCAGCACTTATTTTTTTCTTGAAATGTATTCGACTAACTCATTATAGATCTTAATTTTGACATAATGGGTGAGAAGTTGTGTTGTAGTATGAGAATAAGCATGACCACACGACATGAAGCCTAGTGCGATGCCTGGAAGAGCAAAGTTTCCAAATAGCTAAAATCCACATTCTGTGAGAGGCTGCAAGAAGTCAAGTGTGACTAATTGTTTTTCACACACTATTTAAGCAGGATTTATACTTGTGCGTCAGCTCTAAGCAGAGCCTATGCACACCGTTGTGAGCATTTATATTTGCGTGGTGTGTCTGTGTCACTCTGCAGTTACACCTCCAAAACACTAGTCAGCAGTGTGGTTTCTGTGAAGTGCTGTAAAGTTTAGTTGATTCAAAACACACATTAAACACACATTAAACATGGCTTAATAGCGACAATTTCACACACAAGTACACAAATCAGCTTCATTATAACTCACAGCATTCACAGACAAACACTTGTCTTTATCTGGACACTTTTTCCCCACCAATACAACATGCTAGCATTATTAGCACAAGCCTATGGCATTTTACATTGTATAAATTAGCCTAGTGGCTAGTGGACTTTTCCTCTTCTCATATAAAGTCAGGGACAACAGCAACATTTAACAAAGGTAACAGTACATAATTCGGCTCCATTACAACTCACAAGGTTCACTGACAAAACAACTGTCTTATACTAAACATGTTTTCCAAACAAATATAACATGCTAACGTTATTAGCACAAGTCTATTGCATTTTACATCGTATAAATTAGCCTAGTGACTAGCTGAGATTTCCTCTACTCATATGAAGCCAGGATAAATCACACACAAGACTTAAAATGCTATTTTTGTGGAGGCTTTATTGTCTTCACAGTTTATTGTTTCTTATCTGTGAGTAAAGTAAAATAGCTTTGTTTCCACTGAGAGAAATGGTTTCAGCTTACAAAAATAGACAGGAGGTCTGCTTCACCGCGACGTGTAGTTACATATCTGGGGAGGTGCACTTTTGGGTAAGATGTAGGCTCTACATCGACGCAGAGCCTACGCCATAGGTAAGGTGTCGATTTGACACATAAGTACAAATCCCGCTTTACACTCAACAGGACCATCACCCTCCACATGTTTACAAGTAGAGAAAATTAAAACCAGACTAAACTATGATAAATTGTAGATCTGCATGAACAGATTTTCACACTGAGAACAAACAGAAACATATAGAGCACAGTCCATTCTCTGGAAACAGCTCCTGGCATATAAAAAACATCAGAGGAAAACCCCCGTCGAGCTTCAGTTGACTCACCCTTTCATTTCTGTAAGGTGCTATGACATTGCTCTCTTTGATGTAAATAACCTGAAAATAAAGAGGAAGCGAAAGTTGGGTTTTACTTTGAAAAGCCATCATGACAAATAACACACTGCTGAAACCATTAAAGATAATAAATCTGGACAATCAAAGACGAATGAAACAAACTATCACCATTAATTACAGTTCAACAGATCAAGAGGACTCTGAAGATCAACATGTCAAATACAAGAAGAGATTCTGAAGATGACTCACCTGAACACACTGAATAGAGAGGGCAGATGGTCTTGGCCTATGAGTAAAACACAAAAAAGTTAAAACATCACAGTAATTCATCACTTGGAAAGTTTCAACCTAAACTAAATCAAAAATGAAAAAATCTGCTAATGACTTTAGCGATTCTTCTGAAAAACATACAATAACCAACATCAAATCTGCTCCAAACTGAACTACCTGGCGATGTCACCTGAAAGCGGTATCACAGTCTATGTTAGGTCTAAGTAATTCGATACAGTACACTCAATCATTTGTAGATGTTGGTTTCAATATTGGCATCCAGGTTTCGTTAACATTTGCACAACATTTCAAAGTCACCAGACCAGTTCAAGAGTAAACAACAGTGTGTGAGCTGAACGTGTCCGCTGAAGATGAAACCAACTCACTCGTTGAAGGGGTTGTTCTCTCTCTCGATGAACTCGATCTTCTTACAGTCTCGAAGAGGAATCTGCAGAAACAGCAACGAATTATTATGAACCATGATTTACAAAGACCTGGGTACTACATCTACAGGAAAACAGACACACAAAGTACAATAACACGTCCATGCAAAACATGCACAGTAGAAAAGGGATGGGCAATATTTGATTTCATGACATGAGACTAGATTTTGTCTTAGGTTTTCGATACATAAAATCTGAACTGTTGTCTTTTCCTGGCTTTAAAGGCTGAATTACAGCAAAGTAATGTAATTTTCTGAACTTATTTTCTAATGTTCTAGCTATTTTATTATTTTCCTTCATACACTCAGTCATTATATCCACATTACTGATTCTTCTTCCTCCAAAAGCACCAACAGTCACCCCATAATATAGTTGCAATATCAGTATCGAGGTACTTGGTTATAAATTTATGGAAACTTCTCTCTCTTCTCTTCTCTTCTCTTCCCTCATTTTTGGGTTGGAAAAAAACATCTGGTGGCAAGAGTTAAAAGACATGCTATACATAAAATATTATTAAAACAAACCTTTAAAATTGGCTCTCCAAGATCATCTGGATCAAATATGACAGATCTGGAGCAGATCTTGAACGAGCCTCGGACTTTTCTGTAAGGAAAACAGCTAACGTTAGCATGTTAGCACTCTTAGACACAAGACTCTTAAATATATCCACATTAACTGCAGTAAAGAATAACACAAATATAACCTGATACATGAATGAATATGCTACGTAACAAAGAAACCAGTATAGCAAAAAGACATTATTAGCAGTCCTTTTAGAAAAGTCAGGGAAACAAATGCTAATTAAATGCTAGCTTGCTAAAAATATATATTTTCTCCTGAGCCAGAATGAATTCAGACAACAGTTTTAAAAAGCAATATTATAAATTGACCAAGTGCAATCAATGTGCCGCCAGCTGGCCTGCCTCATGCACCTCCCTCGCTACGTGTATGTGATGGAGGTGGCCTGGCCGACCACCTCAAACCCAGGCTCGCGGGAGAAGGGGGCCCGGGAGCCGCCGGCCCTCCCTCTTCCCTCTAACATTTACATACTGTAAAATATTTCATGCACAACAATAGATAGATTAGTTTCCATCCTAGACTTGTATGGCTTTTTAAATTGTTTTATTTAAGGTGTAAAAAAAAGAGAGAAGACGATACCGCGATATCATACCGTCACCGCATCCCCCCAAAATAATACCGTGATATTGATTTTAGGCCATACCGTCCAGCCCTACTCACGAGCCCGTCACGTTTGTATAAAACACACTTTATTTTGAAGTACAGTGACTTTGTGGCACACAGATTTTATTTTTGAAGTGCTGTTTCCTGCTGTAGAGTGAGTGACTGATGGACAGCTACTTGACAGAGACAGCAAACTAGTTCGAGGTCATGGTCAAACACAAGTATGACACTGATTATATTAGACTGTGTGGACCTTGAACGAAAGACTAAGGAGAAATCTGGACCCCAAGGCTGGACCAGTTGGGAACCACCGTTCAAGACGACTCTGACATGTAGTGTAAAGTTCAGTGTAAAGTTCATATCACATGTCAGTGTGAGAACACGTCTTCTGGCATCAATCAATCAATCAATCCATCCATCCATCCATCTATCTTCATTGGCTTATCCAGGACGAGTCACGGAGGCAGCAGGCCAAGCAAAGCACCCCAGAAGTCCCTCTCCCCAGTGACGCTTTCCAGCCATTTCTTGGGGACTGAGGTGTTCCCAGGCCAGATGAGGTAAACCCTCCAGTGTGTTCCCTCTGACAGGAGGCGCCCAAGAGGCATCCTGATCAGATGCCCGAACCACCTCAACTGACCCCTTTCGACGCAAAGGAGCAGCAGCTCTACTCCGAGCTCCCTCCTGATGTCCGAGCTCCTCACCCTATCTCTAAGGCTGAGCCCAGTCACCCCTGTCCCTTCTCCATATTGGACACATAATCCATTCGCTTTGTGCTGTGGAAAAATGATGAACTATATATGAAAATATGTGAATGTCATCATGAATAATAGTAACTGTATGAAGGTATATGATTCATCCATGGTCATGGTTGAGATACTTTCGGAGGCCTCAGAGTCCTTCACTGTCTGCATGCATGTGAGGAGGCTCCAGGATGCCTGAAGGTTAAAGTAAGACAGGGATCTTGTAGATGATCACACACCATCTGTATGACGTGTGAAATACACTTTATAAGACTGACCATGACAATAAAAAAACTGTCTCACTACTCTTGTTCTGAGAGGCTTGTTACTGTTCTCTGGTTTGCTCAGACCTCCATAGCAAGTATCGATGTTTGAACAGCTGCTTCTCACAGGCTGACACAACCGCCTCAAGCTTTTAAGACTTTGTCCACATATCAGTACCTGCAAACTGCAAACACCTGATAAGTACAACAAAGTCCTGCAGGCATATCTGCGCAGTTAACAACTTATTCTGGTTTTTAGACATTATTGAGGTTTGGCATCACCACATGGTGGTCAGGATTATCACATATCATATAATACTATATTATATATGTAGAAAAAGGACATAGAGACTATAGTGGACTGTACAAGATGTAATTTTGGAAGGACTTGTCAATGTGAGTCTCATGTGAGTACTGTGGATCTCCAAGAAAGGAACAGAAACACGAGTCAGAGCCGAGACACCTCACAAACTAAGTAACCGAGGAGACGGCCACTATGCTAAAGATTCACAGAGAAACCACATTCATACAGTCACATATGGTGAAGTGACTGATGTTATTAGTTGACGATGTTAATCTGAATTACCTCTCCTTCTTTGAGCTGGTGGTCACATGGTACGCAGTGTGCTGCTCAAAGTAATACTCCTCCAGATCCAGCAACAGCAGAGAAAATCTGAGGAAAGACAACAGAGGAGTGTGAGATGACATCATCAACAACAACAACATTAGTCATTCCTACAACTTTGTCACGTCACAGAAGGTATTTGGTCAGAAATATTGTTATGTTCAATTTTATCTTGCAGTCCGAGCATTAATGAAATGCTTTTAGGGAGATTTAAAAATATTGAGACATAGCTGTGAAATATCGTGACATGATTTTCAGGACATATCGCCCAGCCCTAATATCCTCCTGAGACTCGAACTTTTGTTTGGTATGCATTTTTAATTTCTCCTAGCTGTTTGGGATCAGTAGGACCCAATAAGTATAAATAAACAAACAATGTCAACGATAAAAAGTCCCAATGTCCTCAAACGAGACGACAATAAAGTCTCAATGTCCTCAAACAAGACGATAATAAAGTCTCAATGTCCTCAAACGAGACGAAAAAATCTTAATGTCCTCAAACGAGACGAAAATTAAGTCTCAATGTCCTCAAACGAGACGACAAAATCTCAATGTCCTCAAACAAGACGATAATAAAGTCTAAATGTCCTCAAACGGGACAACAAAGTCTCAATGTCTTCAAACGAGACGATAATTAAGTCTCAATGTCCTCAAACGAGACGACAATAAAGTCTCAATGTCCTCAAACGAGACAACAAAAAAGTCTCAATGTCTTCAAACGAGACGATAATAAAGTCTCAATGTCCTCAAACGAGATGACAATAAAGTCTCAATGTCCTCAAACGAGACGACAAAAAGTCTCAATGTCTTCAAACGAGACGATAATAAAGTCTCAACGTCCTCAAACGAGACGACAATGCCCTCGTTTGCGAGATAACCCTTGATGAGGGAAGTGAGAAATATTAGGGTGGAGATCTTTCCCTAAGAAAAGAGACGCCACTTTATACAAATCGGCGTGGCCGACGTGCAGGCCTACGTCACACGTAGCAACAATGCAAGATACCGGTAGTCATTCAGATTTGAAAACGCTTGTGTCGTGGCATGTGCTATGTTTATTCTTCTGCGTCTGATGAATCAACGGAGAAGAAATGCTGAAAACAGGAGGCGCCTACGACTTCTAGTTGTGATCGATTTTGTTCGGGTAAGTTTAAATATTTTGACGCTGTGTTCAACCGAGTTGCTGATGACTTTACGCTAGTCCAACCATCTGTTGTTTGTATAGCCTACATTCCGAACGTAGAGTAACAAATTGTCTTCCACCAAAACTTGTCAAAGTTGCTGACTTTGCAAGGTGTTCTGGGAAATTCCATCTTTCACTTCGTTGAAAGTGTGGGTCGGGGCTCCCTTGGAATCCAGGGCGGGTTTTAAGTGTTGGAAACCACTTCCACTACCTCAATTGTGTTTTGGGACACCACTAGCCTAAACGTGAACGCACACAACCATGTGCAAGTGGGTATTTCTAGGGGAAGTGTGGGTATTGGGACAGGCCCTAAGTCTCAATGTCCTCAAACAAGACGACAAAGCTTCAGTGTCTTCAAACCAGACGTCAATAGAGTCTCAATGTCTTCAACCGAGACGACAATAGAGTCTAAATGTTCTCAAACGACTACTTCTTGATTAACAGTGTCTTCGCTCGTTACTGTTGCTAACATTGGTCAAATTTGTTGCCATATCAATCTACAAATAAACCAGTTTCAATCATTAAATGTGATCAGGTTTTGGACCTTGTCCACTTTTGTGTCGGGATCGGCTGCAGACTGACTTGACAGAGATGGCTGCCATCTTGTTTTTACATGGATTAGTGTAGTGTGCTCTTACTACCACTAGATGGCACAAAAAGTGTCCATGAACGAGGACAACAGGTCTAAGTGAAGTAGAATTAAGTATAAGGTCAAGTAAACCCAAAATGTGACGTTGTCATATGAGGACACATGGTCTTAGGGGGACAATGGCCGCCTGAGGGTTTACTTAAGGTTATAGAAAGTCATACAGTACTTTAAAATATGTTTTTACATATATAAGACATGTCCTGACAGGTTACAATGAGCAGACTGGACTGTGTTGTATTAGACTCTAATTTCCTGCTCCTCACAGACGCGTCTCATTGTGCCTTTAATAGCAGGAGTGCATCAGACAGCTGACAGTGAAGCTCTCATTATGTGAGTGTCCCGGCCTGAGGAGGAGCAGGACTCCCGTCTGCAGCCCGACACAAACAACCCGCCGCAGAGCTGAGACTGAGCCCTCAACAATACCGAGTGAAATAATGTCGCGTTAACACCAGCAGCAGCACCAACCTTTCTTTAGTCCGCTCCTGCGTCTTTAAAAAAGCCATGACTGCACACCATCCTCCAGAAACACCGACCTGCCGCCGTCTCTGTTCACATCTCTGTAAACACGGAAACTTGCTGGACACCACGTGACTGACCCTGAGACAGACGATCCCCTGACAAAGGAACGAGGGAGGTATCACTCTGACGCTGTTTCAGGAGACCGTGACGAACTAACAACATTTAGCCCAGGCTGAGGTTTCATGTATGGTGTCCCTGAGGTCCTGAAAGGTGATTTTTTTTTTTTAAAGCTGTGTGCACAAGACCAATTTTATCAGTAACAAAATGACGTAATAATATTTCTATTTTAGTTTTGCACCATGAAGAGTTCGTCTTCAGTTGATTGTTTCTTCTTTAAAATGTCACAAAATACTGGACAATGTTTATAACCACTTTCCAGAGTCCAGATCTTACAACTTGTTTTACCAGCCAACAGTCCAGAATTCAAATAAATTATATATACTTATATATTCATTATAGGTTTTACTTTGGCTACTCTTTACTTTTTTAGCTTGTGCATTGACTTTGTGCTGCATTTTGTGTTTGGAAAGTGCTATACAAATAAAGTTTATTATTATTATTAATACATTGAAATTGATATAAAAGTAATAATAACAATAATAAATTAATAAATTCTCATATTTAACAATATTACCACCAAAATGTTAAGATTTTACCACCATAATTTATTCACTTGAGAAAGAAAATTGCCCTGTTTTTCTGAATTATTATTATTATTATTGTTATTATTATAATTATCTTTCAAATCTGCTCTTGTACTTTTGAATTAATGAGATAATAATCTTGATTATTCAGAAATACTAGAATTTATAAGATGATGATCTTGATAATTTAGAATACGAGCACATTTTTTACATATATATATTTTTTTTTTTTCAGAATTCTGAGATGATGATCTCATTAATCCAGAAAAACAGAGTAGATTTTATTTCCATGAAAACTTTTCTGACATTCTACTTTTAGATTTATCACCGAATCATTTTACCACAAAAATGTAAGCAGTTACACATTTTTCTCATAATTCTGAGATGATAATCTCATTAATTCAAAAAACACAGGCCATTTTTGTGAATTAATTACAGTAGTTAAATTTCAAAAATTCTGTGATAATGTCAGAAAAGTTTTTCATAAACAAAAACTGCTCTGCTTTTCTGAATTAACAATATTATTATCTTATAAATTCTTCTTTTTCTGAATAATCAAGATTATTATCTCATTAATTCAAAGATACTTGAGCAGATTTTTTTTTTTACATGTAAACATTTCTCATAATTCTGAGCTATGAAATCTCATTAATCCAGAAAAACAGAGAAGATTTTTTTTAAGTATGTAGTACCATAATTAAGTATGGTGGTTGGCCGATTAATTTAAAAGTAGAATGTCAGAAAAGTTTTTCATTAAAAATAAATTTGCACTGCTTCTCTTAATTATCTCAGAAGTCTGAAAAAAATATGAAAAGAAAATTGCTGGTATTTTGCATTATCAAGTTCATTCTCTTATAAATTCTTGTTTTTCTGAATAATCAACATTATTATTATCATTATTTTGTTAATTCAAAAATACAAGAGATGATTTTTTTTAATATGTAAACGTTTCTAATAATTCAGAGGTAAATCTGACTCTCCAGCAGTGTTCATCCCAACATGTCCTGCAGAGATGTGGAGAAGCGCCTGCAGGAAGCAGCACAGTGACTGATCACCCCGCACATAGACGATCTTGGTCTGACAACGTCTTGACGTGTCATCGGGGACAGTGAGGGAAGTTTCCGATCTTAAAAATGTCTCTAGTTTGAAACAGGCTCACGGTGCATGTATGAAAGTCAGCCTGGTCTAAAGCCATGTCCTCGCTGCAGGCTGTGTGCAGGTCAACATGCAGTGGAGGAGACACGTCACTGGGCTCGCCTTCAGTCTCGTGTTCGTTGTGTCATATTTCACTAATAAGGTGAGTGTGAGAGGATGTGGTGTTTTCCCTGCAGTAGAAACTAAATTATCTCTCAGCAGAGTGAAGAAATACAATCTGACTTTTATCCAGCGGTTTATTTGAATAATGAGAAGCGACAGCAGCACCTCTGTTCCTGATTATTCACCGTGTAATGTTGGAGAGCGTGATTTATTTCCGTGTAAACTGCAGGGCATTGAAATGTAACCCTCATCATCACACCATGAAGTGAACATGATAAAAGAGGCTTCACGAATCACTGTAACTGGGCAGGTATGAACATGACCCATCAGAGCTGCACTACTAACTCACTCAGCTTTTATTTTGGTGGGAACAGCAGCAGGAAATCAGGGGTGGGAATCATCAGAGGCTCCAAGATACGATATTATCACGATATATATAACCTCCTGAGACCCTGTGTCCTTAAGAGGACGTCACATTTTGCGTTTACCTGACCTAACACTTCATTCTATTTAACTCAGACCTGTTGTCCTTGTTCGTGGACACTTTTTGTGCCATCTAGTGGTAGTAAGAGCACAATACACTAATCCATGTACAAACAAGATGGCAGCCATCTCTGCCAAGTCAGTCTGCAGCTGATCCCGACACAAAAAAATCTATAATCGAAACTTGTGTATTTATGATTGATAATGTTTGTTGTTTGATATGGCATCAAAGTTGACCAATTTTAGCAACAGTAACGAGCTACAACACTGTGTCTCAATTCAGGGGCTGCAGTCTTGAAGGACGTGGCCTTTGCGATCGACGTCGGCCACGTCCTTTTAAGACCGTATAAGCCAAACCGAACATTCTCTGAAATGGAACGGTCTGGTCTGCGTAGGATTTCCTGGTTGCATCACCAGTTGCTCTCACCCTGACCCCTTGGTGTTCCTGTTACCTAGCAACCAGTCGCACTTGACGAAAGAATGAGTAAGCTAGTAGGTTAGTTCGCCCTAAATCATGGACCCAGATGTTGATTCCAGACACCGCTGTTTGATGTATTTTGGGCTGATGGATCGTTTTGACATAAACTTATTAAAATTAAGATTGTTTAAACTGTGTGCTTTTAGCTAATAGTAATGTTAACAACAGCTAACCCCTAGCTAGTTAACAACTGTTAGTTAACCTAATATATAATGGTCACCGGCGCGCAGTGCATTTTGGAATAGGCTGGGCCACAAAGGATTCATCCGCTGCATCCTCCAAATTAAAGGAAAGAAGGCTGCATTTCACGACCACATTTGAAGGAGCCTTTCGAAATGGGACAGCCTTGGTCGCACCGATGTGACGCAATCAGTCTTCAGATGCAGCCTTCAAAAGCTGCAGCCCCTGAATTGTTAATTGTAATTGTTAATTAGGAAGTACTCGTTTGAGGACATTGGGACTTTATTGTTGTCTCGTTTGAGGACATTGGGACTTTATTATCGTCTCGTTTGAGGACATTGGGACTTTATTATGTCTCGTTTTAGAACATTGGGACTTTTTATCGTCTTGTTTGAGGACATTGGGACTTTATTGTTGTCTCGTTTGAGGACATTGGGACTTTATTATGTCTCGTTTTAGAACATTGGGACTTTTTATCGTCTTGTTTGAGGACATTGGGACTTTATTGTTGTCTCGTTTGAGGACATTGGGACTTTTTATCGTCTTGTTTGAGGACATTGGGACTTTATTATTGTCTCGTTTGAGGACAATGGGACTTTTTATCGTTTCGTTTGAGAACATTGGGACTTTATTATCATCTCGTTGAGAACATTAGGACTTTTTATCGTCTCGTTGAGAACATTGGGACTTTATTATTGTCTCGTTTGAGGACATTGGGACTTTTTATCGTCTCGTTTGAGGACGTTGGGACTTTATTATTGTTGACAATGTTTAGGTTTTTATACTAATCAGGTCCTACTGATCCCAAACAGCTAGGAGAAATTAAAAATGCATACCAATCAAAAGTTCAGGTCTTAGGAGGATATTACCACTAGGCGATATGTCCTAAAAATTACATCATGATACTTGAACACATAATGGATGCATGATTTGAGGTAGCCAACAACCAAAACAACCTGATTTTATACATCTGAAGAACTTCTATTAACAAAATGAACCGCTTGGCAACCAGACCAGGCGTCTAATTGAGACAGGCCTTTATTTGTGTTAAATGTGTAGCTGCACCGGGGGCTAGTAAAGGGGATTGGGCGTTGAATTGAAGTTTTGCGGTAAGTGCCGTTGCAGATATTTATAGACTCGCTGAATTGGAAAATTTGAAAGAGGTTTGGTGCCAGTGGTGGAGCATCTCATTCTCCTTCTGTCAGACTTATAAGTTAAAGTTGTAATGTTGGTTTGCTTATAATAAACCCCTGAATCTTCTCTGTTTTCAGTTTGTCCTGTCGGTGTTAAATTTCACCTACCCAACTTTATTTCAAGGGTGAGTAGCTGAAGGTAAATACCTTTGTGTGTGTCTATCCTGTCCTGGTTATTACAGGCTTTGTGTTAGAACTTAAAAGGTTAAACAAATAATGTAAATCCAACACCATCTGTCCGGTTGTTTTGGCTTGCATCTGAGTGCGAATACTGTGTCCACACCTGCCCAAATAACTGCACTTAGGGGGCAAACGAAGTTGAGTTCGATTGAACCGAACCAAACAGGGCAGGTGTGAAAGCACCCTTAGTTAAAACAGCCTTTTGTGTGCACCCCATAATGAGTGATGAAATACAAACTACACACCCAACAACCTGCTGTTTTTGTTCACTAACACTACAATTAATATTTCCAGATGGCAGACATTTATCGGCGCTGCTCTGCTGCTTCTCTCTGGGAAGTTTGGATGGGTGGAAATGAGCCACATCACCAGGTACTTTTGTTTTTATACTATTTCAGGATTCATACTTGAGTGTTTTCAGTAGCTGCCAATAAGCACATGTATTATTCAGAGCCTTGTTTGATATGTGGTGATGTTGTGTTACAGATCAGCAGCTCTTTCCTGGCTTCCAGGCTCCTTCCTGTTTGTAGGGAACATATATGCTGGTTCGAGGGCCTTATCACGTATAGTACGTCACATAACCTACCAACCCTGAGATGTGGTATCTTTTCAATTACATTGCTCAGTATATATATCCTTGAAATCCTTGTTTTTCTTTTTCTCTGTCCAGGACATTCCTTTTTTCTTCACCCTTCAGAATTCCTCTCATGTTGTTAGCTACATCATCTTAAAGGTCGTCCACAGAGAGGTAAGTGCCTGCTCTGCCTGCTGTATGTGAACATGTACGATTATGTGCAGTACACACCCTCCCTTTGTACTCCTCCATCTTATTGATTGGAAGCAAATGGAGGGAAATGAAGCACAAAGGAGGCAGAACCATCACCGCTTTATGACCTTGGCCTCACTCTCTGTATTGTACAAGTTTTAAAGGGGCAGCATGCGACATTCAGAGCATTAATATCGCAGCAAACCACTATTTGCTATGAAAGGATATAGTGGACTAATGGCGCCTGAGCAGAGAATAATGTCATGTCCCACTTGCTAGCTCATCACTGCTGAGCTCAAAGTGGTTATAGCTGATTTTGGGATGGTGTTATCGTGCAAGCGTTGCGTCCACCTTTTGGTTCTTACAAGTTACAGTGGCATGCAAAAGTTTGGGCACCCCTTGTCAAAAATGTGTTTACTGTGAGTAGTTAAGTAAGTAGAAGATGAACTGATCTCCAAAAGGCATGACGTTAAAGATGAAACATTTCTTCAATATTTTAAGCAAGATTACTTTTTTAGTTCAACCTTTTACAGTTTCAAAATAAAGAAAAAGGAAAAGGGTCTGAAGCAAATGTTTTTGGCAAGTATCACAGCTTCTAAACACTTGTTGTAACCAGCTGAGATGCTATCAATTCTTGTCTCTGGGATTTTCATTCTTCCTGGAAAAGGCTTCTAGCTCTGTGAGATTCTTGGGCCCTTTTGCACGCATTGCTCTTTTAAGGTCTATCCACAGATTTTATATTTGTACAGGTGCGGCTGCACAGTAGAATAGTGCACCACCTCCAGAGTCTGATAAATCTTCCTGCAGGTCTTTTGCAGTCTAATGGGGGTTGACTTGACCTCCACAGTTCCTGTTAACTGCCATTTCTTAATGACATTACAAACTAAATAAACAGCTATCTGAAAACACTTTGCTATCTTCTTATAGTCTTCTCCTGCTTTGTGGGCATCAGTTATTTTAGTTTTCAGAATGATGAGCTGCTTACAGGAGCCCACAGCTGCTGATTGTTGGGACAAAGTTTCAGGAGACAGAGTATCCATAAAGCTTTGAAAATTGCATCACCTGACCTTTCAGAACAATGATTGTGAGCAAGCCATAGCCTCATCAAGCTAATTATGTTCTAAGACCCTGGTAAAAGTTGTCTGAGAGCTCAAATATCTTGGGGTGCCCAAACTTACTTTTGCATTGTGCTCCTTTCCTTTTTCCCCTCTAAAATTGTACAGAACAAAATAATTCACTGATTTTGAAATGAGTTGAAAAGCATGTTTCATCTTTAACTTCATGACCTTTAGAGATCATTTTATCCTCTACTTACTTTTGACCGTGGGTGGCATAACTTTTGCATACCACTATAACACAGGTGGCTTGTTCAGCACTGTTGCCGTTGTTGTTGCCGTTGACTTGACTTATACGCTCTGTTTTTCGCACCACTATGATGTATCTCTGTCTTTAAAATGTGCCTTTATCTCTCTTTTTAACTGACAGAAAACACAATGGCTGAAACTGATCGGGTTTGTGCTTTTTCATTTTTCACTTCACCCAAGAGTAGCCCAATAAGTTGTATCTATATGGAATGCAACTGTAAAGATATATTTTGCGGCCAAGGTTGCAGGAGATGGGGTAACACAAGGAAATACATAACATTTTAGTGCTCCCATAGAACGAGCATAATTACATAGTAGTAATAATAATGCCGTTGATGTTGATAATGGTAATACATTAATTTGTTAAGCACTTTTCTGGGTCTGGATCAGCAACAGTAATAAATGAAATACAAAGCTCAAGGATGAAATTTTCCATTTTACATGACTACATCTTTAAATGTGCTATTTTCTCTTGTAGTATAAGCTTAATGCTGCTCTCAGCAATCAATCTCCCCGTCTATGATCCTCAGGTAAGAATTCATGATGGTGAATTTCTTATTACAGTTCCAATTGCTACTAGGGAGGAAGACTGAAAAAGTTTTGGGTTTATTCACTACAACAAATCTTTACTTGTTTACATGTTTGCATGTTCTGCAGTTTGACTACAGTGGCTACGTTTGGGCTGTCGGTCATCTGCTCTGTGTCGGTAAGTCTAAGAATACACAGAAATGCTACTCTGTTAACTGTAAAAGCTCAGGAGTTATATACAGAGAAAAACAGTGGCCCAAGGTTTGAGCCTTGAGGGACACCACAGATATCTGAAGGAATATAAAAAATCAGTAGAGGATGAGAGTAAGAATGTCATGTCATTTTTCAGGTGCATACAGGGTGTTTCAAATTCACTACAAATCCAGTAATTTGAGGTAAGTGGAAGCACAGAGATTCATAATAATAGAAAACACAAACACTTTGCTTGACAGTGTGTTTCTTATTTCTCATCTAACACAACGTGCCATTTTTCAGCCTAGATTTGTTAAATCACTCTGCTGATTGAATAGGGCTGGGCTATATGTCCTAAAAATGATATTATCGTATTTTACAGCTCTAACTCGATACCTGATATATAGTTTGATATTTTTTAGATCTCCCTAAAAGCATTTTATTAATGCTAGGACTGAGTGACAAATCGAACATAACGATTATTCTGACCAAATACCCTCTCTGATGCCACAGAGTTGCAGCAATGACTGTTGTTGTTGTTGTTTGGGTTTTTTTCCAGAAAATATTAACACAGTGAGATTTTTGATAAATAATCATCAATAATAATGACTAAGGGGGTTAAGGCAAGCGTTAAAACAAACAGAAAAGTCTGATTAGTTGATAGATTTACATCACCTTACTGAAATGCAGCCTTTAAAATAAGGGAAAAACACTATTTATGCCATATCACGATATGATACCCAAAATCTAAGACGATGTATAGTCTCATATCTCGGTAATGATATATCTTCGTAATGCCCAGCCCTAAGAAGAAATGTTGTACTATTTACACAATTAATTTAAAAGGGTTCACCAAAGACTTTTGAATTAAACTTTTGTGATGTTTTCATTGCAGTGACCTTGAACAACAGTACATTAACTATTTGTTCAGGTAAGAATAAATCCTTCTAAATAACTGGATGGGATACATAATAAGCACAAGTTAGTTTCATTTAAGGATGAAATGTTCTGCAATGTCTCAAATTATTTAAACTCTCAAACTTTTACTGAATAGCTATAGACCTATATTTACGTTATATACTGCATGTCATAGTGCACTGAGATTTGTTACAAATTGTAAAGCCCTGACTCATCACTGTACGCTTTATTCCAGGGCTAGTCTGTCTTCTTTGACCTTTCATAGTCTCTGTCACTGGTATTTGTTCGTTTATAAAGCCATACTGTGTCAACTCCCTGCGTACATTTGAACTTGGATTGGACAAAGATCTGATTGTAGCACTAGTCTGAGATCTCAAGATCGTGTTTGTTGTCTGAACTGGGAATGAAAGCTTTTATGCGCCCTGCTCCTGTCACTTGGAATAACCTTCAAAAAGAGCTGAAACTATGTGAACTGGTCCCTCTGTCTGATTTTAAAGCTCTGAATGAGTCGGTTTGGTCTAGGTGTTCTAATATTTCTACATGTTAGTGTATATCTTGTGTTTTTTATTGTGTGGTTGCTTGGCTGTAACTCTTTGTGTGCTGCTGTCTTGGTAAGGTCTCCCTTGTACAAGAGACTGGGGACTTGCCTGTTTAAATATGGGTTAAATAAATAAAAATACATTTGAGAAACTAACTGCCTTTCAGAGAGGTTAAGACAACTCAGTCATCTCTAAACAACTTGATGCATCATGCAGATAGTCCATTCATGATAACTGCCCTTCCTGGAGCTCTAGAAGGAGCATGAGGAGTCAAAGATAGCAAGAAAAATCAGCAAATGATAGGTGGGAGGAAAAGCCAATTATTCGAGTTAGGAGTGGAGTTAAAGGTCTTTGCAAGCGACTTTGCAGAAATCAATAATTTTCAATTATATATAAGTTATGGCTTACTCACAGTATTCTGAGTAACTTAAATACTTATAAAGTCTTCTAAAAAAACATTTGCAAAAGGTAAAGTTATTTGCTTGTGCATCCAGAAAGGTTGTAGTAATGCACTGACCTGTGTTTCTTACATTAGATATTGGGTATTATCAGTTACTAATTTCAGTTTTTCCTACCTTAACATAACAGTGTACTGCTGCTGGCCATTGCCGCTCACCCAACAGGTATGAATGACCCTGAACAATGTCATGTATTTCTCGGTGAATGCCGACTTGATAAAAGCAACAACAGCCTAATTTAGATTCTACAATTAACATTTGTGCCTCACAAACATTTCTTTGTCCCTCTACAGGTGACCTCATGGGTGCCTTGGAGTTCCCCTCCCTTCAGTCCTACACATTTCACTGTGGCTGTTGTGCCAGGTGAGACTTTCCAGTCCATGGACACTGTTTCTTTCATAACTACTGTATATTCAATACAGCTACCCAAAGTGTTTGTTATTATGAACATTGGCTGAGGCAAACTTCCATCCATGAAACATTTATGGATTAAAAAAACAGTTACAACAATTATACAGGGTGTATACAGGTGCTTGAAAAGTCTTAACTTGTCTTCAATTCAAATTCGATAGGTCTTAAATATTTTTGGTCACATTACGGCTAAATTTTCTCCAGCCTGTCAGACCCAACAACTGTTTAAAATCATAGGACAGACCGAAGAATTGTAATAATAAAAAGCATTTATGATGGCAATTAGATTTTGTTTTCTTTTTACTTTAAGCACATTAAACTTAAACTGTCATTTTTCCTCACTGTTCATGTTGAAGTGACATCAGTGTGTTTACTTGGAAAAATACTTGCATGTGTGTCTCACACATACACAGTCAGATAGATAGATAGATAGATAGATAGATAGATAAAGAGTATTTCCATTGCAGGTTTAAATGTCATAAGGTGGTATTAAAAAGGTCTTAAAACATCTTAAATTTGACTTGGTTACATCTGCAGACACCCTGATGATTTCTGCTTGAGCCGTGTCAGATAGATGTAATGGTGGTTGTTGAACAATGAAGACAACAACTCCCATGATCCCATGCTACTTCACGACCTCAACAAAGTCCATCTTTTGTTCTTGTTCTGATGGAGAGCGGCAGAAATTATGTACTGGGCATTTACCAGTATCAAATTAGAACATGCTGTATGGGATGGAATATTAGAGAAGTGCAGAACATCAGCAGTTAATTATTGGACCCATGGAGGCCGACAGATACGTGGTTAAAGAGGATCTGTGTTAGAAAGTCCTAGCAACATGTTTCAGTATTAACAAGTATATCTATCAGCCATTATCAGTGTTTGCAGCATGATACCTAGCAGTTTATTGTGTGTGTCATTTCACAGTGCACTGCTGGGTTTTTTGTTGCTGTTGGCCACAGTCAAACTAAAAAGTGGATTGTCCCTCGAGCACTTCGGGGTCTGGATTTTTCTTGCAAAGGTGATGGTTTTTCATATTTTTAGATTCTTTTACAAAAATTAGATTTCATAGTAATTTATGGTGGAACTGGTACCATGAAACGCAGCATCATAATTCACACAGTCGTGACCTGTAGTGATATGATAATTCAAAATTGTTTTGACCCGCGTAACAAGACGTTTTGCTGCTCTTTCCTTCCAGGTTACTGCCATGTGCCTCTCCCCATTTATCTTCAACATGGACATTAATGCTCCATCTCTTAGTTGGTAAGTGCCTCACCCATCTATTTCAGGTACTTACTTACATAGGCCTAAGGTCCTCCATCCTCTGCGCTCTCGTGCCTGTCCAGTTGCTTCCATGACAGCCTTAATCTTGTTCTGTCCCTCTTCTCCAGGTGGACCTAGGTCTTCCTCTCTTTCTCCTGCCTTGTGGGTTCCACGTTGATGCCTGCTTGATTAACTTGTTTTCTGAGTGTGTGGTCTGTCTTGCTCCACTTCCTTCCTGTCATTTGAAGTTCTTTGAGTTTTTGTTTGGTGCGTTCCCACAGGATGTTATTGGAGATGGTGTCTAGCCAATAGATTCCCCGGTGGTGTTGAAGGCAGCAGCTGATGAATGTCTGTAGTTTGTTGAGGATGTTGGTGGTAATTTCCGTGTTTCAGATCTGTATAACAAATTGATTTGACTTTCGTAAAATTTTAGTTTGGTTGTACGTGCTGGGGTGAAAAATGCTGTTCTTTCTTTTCCTATCCTGACTTTGACATCTTCCTCTGCTCCTCTGTCCACAGTAATTATGCTCTCAAGGTATGTAAAGCTGTCTACCTCCTGCAATTGGCTTAGATTATTGGTGCATCGCTCTTTTGTTTTTGATGTGCTGATCTTGAGTCCAAGTGTAGCAGCAGTTCTTGTTAGTTTGTGTGCTTTGTCTGTTGGTGAGTGTTTGTAAGTAGTGCTATATCATCAGCAAATCCAGATCCTCTAGCTGTTTGGTCAGGCTTCTATTTATGCTGGTTTTGCTGTTGTTGGTTACTTGGTTCTAGTCCAGTCTGTGCAGAGGAGGAAGAGCAAACATTCCTGTAACACCCCAGTTAGGACCTCGATCCAAAGTCCAGTTTACACGGGAAAATAGGGTCCAGGTTGAAAAATGTTAAAGTTATACTCTAAGTCTACCTTCTGGGGTTCGTGTGTCTCAGTTTCAGTTGCATCCTTGCTATGACTACATCATGGCCAGACCCAAGGTTGGCTCTTCCTTTCACTCTGACATCCATCAGTGGCTGAACTTCCGGTTAATGCAACTGTGGTTGATCTTCTTTGTGGCTGGCTGAAACCCATGTTGCTTTACGGATGTCTTCGTGTGGGAAAAGCCAGCCTCCAATAACTTGGGGTCATGCCTTCCTTTCTTGGTCATGTGATGTAGTTGGTTGTAGAAGTGGTCCTTGACTCACTAGTAGCCAGTTTACTGTGACCTGACAGGAGCCCTCTGGTGTCACATAGGCCCAGGATAGATATTCTGTTCCTCATCACCTCCTCCGTTATTAGTACTGTCTTTCCTCATAGTTCTGACATGACTTGTTGCAATGATTTGGTTTATTAGTCCCTTCTTGCCTGTTGTCCTCCAGGAAATGGATTACAGTCTCATATCACATGGAACCAGACCAACTGGTTCATGTACAAGCTGTCGCGGCACTATTTTAGGTTAAGTGAATAAAAACGTGAATAATAATTACTAAATGTTTTCCCATCAACTGTCCTTGGTTTTATGAGTTTGTCCTCAATATTTTACGCTGGAACTAAATGGGTCTCTGTCCATAAAGCATTAATGAATTATATTTTTTTCTCTTCTTGACTGCAGTGTGGTCATCAGCCATGTTGGAGAGGCCTTGCTGGTGTATTCTCAGAGGGACTCACAGTTGTGACAAGGAAATCGCAGCTCTCCAGAGAAACCCACGACTTGAACGCCGTAAAGAAATTCTTTTGGAAACGTATTTTTTCACATTATTTTTGTAATTTCTCCCTTCTGTGCTGACAATCTGCTGACCAAATAAAGTTATTTTGTTTACATACTGTGCTTTCTGTGTACTTGGTGACATTGTGATCCTGTTAAATCAGAATGAAGCACTGCAGCATTTGATGAGGTAAAACAACACTTCATCGACATAAAGTCAACTTTATTATCCAAAAACACCCCAAGTATACTCAGTATCTGGTAAATCTTAACTAAACACAAACCTGTCAAACAGTCTTTAGCACAGGTTGGCAACCTTTACTATCGTTAGAGCCATTTTTGGCCAAAAAAAAAAAAAGAAAAAGAAAGGTAACACAGCCTTTTAAGTCGAATTTCGCCTAACAACATTTCTAACAGATAGACAAAAAGGCGCCACGGTATAGTTAAAAAAATTTTTTTAAATTGATGTATGAGCTACACTTATTTACAGTTGAGGAATGTAAGAGTAACCTTATGCCCACAAAAATAAACGAGCCACAGGAGAGGAGTTAAAGAGCTGCATGCAGCCCTGGAGCCACAGGTTGGCTTCCCCAGCTCTACACAGACAGTACACTGACATTAACGACTTGAAACCGAAAAAAAAGACAGCATAAGGTCACTATGTAATACAGAACTTGGTTGTACTCAGTGCAACGCAGTGACGAGCCTGCTCTTTATATGCTGTAGTAGTTTTCTGTGACTTAATCAAATCGAACAGTTCTTACATGAGCAAACATTTCTTAGCTCTCCTGCTGGTTTTGCTTTGGGTTTGGTGAGAACAAAGCGTTGAATGGTTGCCTTCTCCGCATACGTGCCTGGGGATCCTTCTCTTCTTTGATATAGCCTACAAAGAAATCACATCTCAGTATCTATAAGTAGTTTTAATGAATTTTAAGCCATCATGAGATTCTGTGACACTGACGACACTGTGAGAAAAACAGTTTATTGATCCCTGCAGTGACTAAAAAGGTAAAAATCACCTAATTACCTCTTTCAATGCAGGTTTGAGTTGATGGGAATCCAACTTCCCAGAAATGTTCAGGTGTACAAGGAGGAATGTAGAGAAATCTGTGTCTCGAGCAGGAGGTCAGCTTCTTCTGCTTCTCCTCCTCTGGCAGATGGGCGTAATACTGTTGGAAATACACATCCTTTAAAACAGGATCCGTGATAAAACGTGTCTGTTGCTCGGCTCTGTTGTCAAAATACTTACAATTTCACATTCTTTGCAGGTGGTGCCCTTCAGTTTCCGTCTCTCCTCTTTCTTGCGAATTACAGCCATGTGTGCAAACGCTGGACGCCTATCCAAAGAGAGAAAACATGAGACTAATCTTTTTTTCTGTCTGCACACTACCCCAAAAGACGACAGCATTGATTTGAAAAAAGAACCTACTGGTTGTGAGGCTGATGTGTTTCTTACCCTGCTTTGTGCATGTTATATTGGCTCATAGTGTTTTCATGAGGATCTTGTTGATCTTAGAGATTTAAACAAACATGTAACACAAGTTATATTAAAGCACTGACATCTAATGTTAAACAGAGAAATACTGGTCGAATTACATGATGACAAACATAGTTTCTCTACATCTAAAAGCCTACCATCATCCTTCTCTTCATCATCATCCTCTTCACCACAGGGCTGACTCTGGCCCAAGTGTGAACTGTTGTAAGACTTGTACTCCCCGTAAGCTGTCGTGTCGAACATCAGATCCAAACTGTCATTTGCCTTCTTGCCCACTCCTGGAAAAGCACACAGATATGCTGTTAAAATTTTCATTACAACACATTTCACAATATGTTATTAATTACTGCATATGAGACCAATCAGCTTTTGTATGACATCGGCATCCATCAAAACATGTGAGTGAAGATTCTCAGTCATCCAAAGTGCTATATTGTAGGCAACTGGACTTGAGTTTCGTGAGGACCTTTCACCTCTCACCCAAGAGGTTTCATTAGTTCTAACAGACTGGGGCAGAGTTGCAGGCTTTAAACTCTGTGTGGGTGTGAACAGTTTCAGAGTCACTGAGGTCAAATATAAGGCGAAATTTATACTTCTGCATTGAATTGATACTGTACCTATGGCGTAGGCTCTGTGTCGACCTGACCTATGCTGTAGCCTGACGTGCACCTCCCCAGAAATGTAACTACATGTTGCAACACAGACCTCCTGCCTTTTTTTTTTACGTTGAAACCATTTCCTTCAGTGGAAACGAAGCTTTTATTTAATTTAATTTCACAGATGAGAAACAAGAAATTGTGAAGACAATAAAGCCTCCACAAAAATAGCATTTCAATCTTGTGTGTGATTTATCCTGGCTTCATATGAGCAGAGGAAATCAGACAGTTTTGTCAGTGAACCTTGTGAGTTGTAATGGAGCCAAATTATATATCATTACCTTTGTTATATGCTGCTGTTGTCCCTGGCTTCATATGAGTAGAGGAAAAGTCCACTAGCTGCTAGGCTAATCTATACAATGTAAAATGCCATAGGCTTGTGCTAATAACGTTAGCATGTTTATATTTATTCAGAAAACGTGATTAGTATAAGACAGTTTTGTTGGTGAACCCTGTGCGTTATAATGGTGCAAAATTATGTACCGTTACCTTTGTTAAACGTTACTGTTGTCCCTGGCTTCATATGAGTAGAGGAAAAGTCTGCTAGCTGCTAGGCTAATTTATACAATGTAAAATGCCATAGGCTTATGCTAAAAACATTAGCATGTTGTATTTGTGGGGAAAATGTGTCCAGATAAAGACAAGTGTTTGTCTGTGAATGCTGCAAGTTTGAAATTGTCTCTAAACTAAACTAAACTTTACAGCACTTCACAGAAACCCTGTCGCCAACTAGTGTTTTGGAGGTGTAACTGCAGAGTGACACAGACACACCACCACAAGTATAAATGTTCACAATGGCGTAAGCTCTGCTGCACAAGTGTAAATCCCGCTTAGGGGTTCACACCCACACAGAGTTTAAAGCCTGTGACTCCACACCAGTCTGTTAGACCTAAAGAAGCCTCTTGGATATAATATAGCACTTTAGATCGTCAATCAAAGCATGTCAGTAATCAATTACTTAATAAGTTGTGGTTAATATTCACCAGACACGCTGGTCTTTCTGTCCTGTGCATTTTCTGCCCGACCCTGAAGTAAGCTGTGACTGACCCAAGTACAGTCTGTATCTACCAGTTCTCCATGACCCTCTTCTTCTTCTTCTTCTTCTTCTTCTTCTTCTTCGTCTCCCTTTTGCTAAAATATGAACAGACACACAGATGAGCAGCCTGGTGTAAAAGACACTTCTCTCCAATATATCCAGATGAATATGTTCAGATGCAATGTTTTTAGTAGTCATAAAAAATCATGACAATCACAGAAAATCTTTGCAAACAGAAACAGTGGTCACAGGTCGACACTCTTCACCTGGCCAGATATTTAACTAAATGACACTACAAGTTCTGCCATGATGTTTATATCCGGTCATGTGACCGTACCTTGTCTCCTCTCCACTCACTGTCATACATGGACAGGGCGAGCGCAGGGTCAATGCTCCACGAGGACTCCACTCTGTGCTTCCTTTCAGCTGGGAAAGCAGAGTTAGCATGGTCACATGAAGTTCAACAGATTATAAAGAAATACTTTAAACTGTACATCATTCAGCCAACTGTCAGAAAAACAGACTGTCCTTCAAATGTCATTGTCAAACACACAAACTCACCATCTTTTCCTTCATGTTGGTCATGTGAGGCATTCAGACCCAGCAGAGGGGGCTCTTTCTTCCCAACACTGTCCTTGTTTGCTTCTCTAACTTCTGGCCTCTTGAAAACAGGACTTGTACTGGGCACATTCGACCTTTGGTTGGATGTCCCAGTTAGTGCTGGACGAACCTGTGAAATGTTAAAAGAATCACATGACATTTGAAAGCCATATGGAAGAATTGTTCTAATTACATAAAGGGCCGCTGTCAGGGTGGGGTCAAAGGGTTATGAAAAGGTCTATGATTAACCCCTAAATGGGATCAAGTACAACATTTACTTACTGACTTATATCACTGACAATACAAGTAATATGTATTTACATGATAAACAAATGTACCGTTGTCATTAAAAAACCAACCAGTGTGCCATCTGATACTCCCACCCCCTGCAGGTATTGTGAAATGGTGCGGCCCACCTGCCAGAGGGGGTCAGAGCCGATTAAAATCTATCGGTCAGATATGCCAAACACACACAAGCTAAGTCAGAATGCCTCGCCAGAAATGAGGGGCTCCTTAAGGAAAGCCAGGGTACAGAGAGAACAAGAAAACGACAGAAGAAGAGAAGCATCGGCCAAACGTCTGCCTCATTGCCTTTTTCCCCATGTTTTTGAAAGAAATTGCACCAATATGTTCAGAATTCAAAGGTTTCAATACTTGTGAAAGCAGCACAAGAAAAGAGATGTTTCAAAGAGTGTAAAAAAGTATGTAAGTACATACATATGGAGGCCTGACTCGACTCGCCCTATTTGATTTTCCATTATCAAAACTTGTGGATATCACTTGGTACTTTTTTTGGTGCCACCTCCGTTGAGGTTCCAAGCAAGCTGAGCGGATACTAAAAGGAGAGGTTCAAACACTGCAGACCAGTCATTGGTCAGAGAGAAAGGTCACATGCAGTCTGCAGAACCACAGAGTACACTATCCTGTACAATTGACAAAGTCCTGACATTCAGTTGAGGATGAAAGGACTCAGTGAGTGACCTCACGATAGTTTCACGCAGCTTCTCTATGCTGATCAGCTGAGAATCCCATCATCACTGAGGGGGCTCTATCCATGGCAGAAAACAAAATAAAGAAAAGGACATGGTACCAAAGTGATTTGAGTCAAACCATGCAGTGAAAATGAGGCATTACTTTACTGTCCAGCAGCTCTTTGTTGAAGCTTTGATTGCTTAAAGGTGTGGAGGTGTGTTTGTTCAGGTCTGGTTGCTTATGTTTGCCTTCCACCTGTTCCTGGATTCCTTGTTTGTCCTCCTCTTGCAGCTCCTGCTCACTTTCCTCCTTCTTCCGTTTCACCTTGTTAGTGAAGCTAGCCTCTGCAAACCTTTTGACA